TGTTACTGACAATGGCCAAGAAAATTTCAAAAGATGGAATAGAATAAGCAAAGGCATAGTGGAGATACATATACTTCATTCTCTGTGTGTGTATGTGTATACGAGAGGGAAAATATGAGTGAATGAATATGAGTTATGGAATATGGCTGAAGGTGACTGAAATAGCACCCTCAAAACTAAAAGACCTAGCATCTACTGAAGAAATAATTACTGCTAATATTTTGGGTAACTAGATAACAAATATACAATCTTGACTTCTGAAGATAATGGCAGCTGGTTGACTGATGTCCAGTCTAAAGACCTGAAGGTCACCATCTAAAGTTTCAAGGGGATCAGAATGTATTTTATGAATAAAGATATGTCACCAAGAGTCAAAACAGAAAATAAAACTGGGAAATATAAAGGTTGGGGAAAGGAGAGCAAGATACAGCTGCCTCCTAAGTGTAAAATTGCATCTCCTAACTTCTATTTATACTCATTTCCAGGTGACTTTCTCTAGTCTCATGATTTTAAATATTATCTATATGCTGATAACATCCAAATGTATGCCTTTGATTCTAATCTTTCTCCTAAGCTCCAGGCTAATACATTCAATTACCTACTCAATATTTCCACTAGAATTTCTAATAAGTATGTCAAACTTAACACGTCCAAAATGGAATCCCTGATTTCTACTGCCTAATGTTTCTCATCTAGGTAAATGATAACTATCCTTAGAATTGCTCAGGCCAAGACCTTGAAATTCATCTTGACCCTTCACTTTCTCTTATATTCTACCATGAATTCACTAGCAAATCCTGCTGGCTTTATCTTCAAAATATATCCTGCGTCTGTTTACTTCTCATCATCTCCACCGCTGCGACTCCGGTCCAAATCTCTCACTAGAGTATTGCATATCCTCCTAACTAGCCTCTCTGCTTTTTCCCTTTTCCCTCCAATATGCCATGGCATATAGAAGCCAGAGTAAACATTTAAAAATTTAACACATGTTCTGTTCCACATTGTATTTCCCTTCCTCAAAACTGGCCACTTAGAATAAAATGATCTTGCTTTTGTTACCTCTCCCACCTCATCTCCTTTTACTTTGCTCCTCTCTCTCTACTTCAGCCAGAATGACCTCCTTGCTAGTCCTCAAACATGACAAGCATGCACCCCATCTCAGGGCTTTTGTTTGTTGTTCCCTTTGCTTGGAACACAATTCCCTTTACATGGCATACAACCTCAATGTCTTCAGATTTCCACTGTAATTTGACCTCATCAGTGAGGCCTGATTACCCTATATGAAAAACAAGACTCTATCAGTCAGCTCTGGACAGGAAAACCAAAATCTTCTAGGTATTTCAACAGGGATTGGGTCAGGTGAGAGAAGGCAGGATTTAATACAGGGAATTGGTTACAAATGTGTGTTGGAAGAGTTGGAGAAACAAAAAGAGAAAAGTGTGTTACCAAAGATCAGTAACTGCAGGAAGTCACTGTTGATGCCAAAGCTATTGGTGGACAGTGATGTTACCGAGTGTTGAGGAAGCTTGTACTTCTGCTACCTTCTTTCCACTTTCTATTATCATGTTAATGCATCCCAAGGGCAAAAACTAAACCAACGGGACCACAGCTGAAAAGAGAGCCTGGGAAATCACGTTTTCAGGCTTCCGGCCTTACTGTACAGGGGAGAGTATAAAAGGGCTGATGTGGGATAAGTTTCCACAGATAATATCTGGCATATACCTCTTCTACTGCCACTCTGTATCATCTTACCGTTCTTTTTCTTCTCCATACCACTAACCACTATTTGTTTGTTTACTGACTATCCCCACCATTAGAATATAAATTCTGTAAGAACAGGGAATTTGTCTGTCTTTCTGCTATATCTCCAGTAGCCAGAACAGTGCCTGATATCAGTATGGTAGCACACTAAGAGAGGAGGAATGGTGGGAGGGGCCTGACCCTGTGGAGAGGAGTATTTTAACACTGACATTGTTTAGAATTGCCAGTGCACAGTAATAATAAAAAGAAGAATGTCTTACGGTCAGTTTTATTATTGTTTTCTAATTTTCTACAGATAATGCATCCTCTTATGTGAGGGTAATGGATTAACAAAACCCTTTCTCTATCTCTAAGGACAAATCTGGCCTTGGGTTAACTTTCTAGCTCTGTTCCTCTGGAAATGTGATAAAGACGAAATGTCACCTTGTTGCTAGGCAACATTTCTTATGGTAAAAATGATCTCTGATTGGGAACCTGTATATGGATGGACTAGAAAGCACTATAAATGAATGATAAACACCTACCGGGAAGCCACACTTTTGGGCTTCCTAAATGTGGTGACACTTGTAACTGGGCATTTTTGTTGTGGGGACCCTGGAAGCTGCCTAAGACTGTTTTGAGAAATATTGATTCCTATGTAGCACATGGACCTTCTAAGTTGGTGGCTCCTATACTCTCCTAATATAATTCTTGTTTCCTTGCACCTGAGTATCACCTGAAGAACAAAGAGAACAGGTAGCTATTGGATGGCTGTGTAGACTGCTTAGAGGACTAGTCCCACAGAAGAAGAAAGCCTGATGTTGCCCTGCTGGATGAATTCTGTTCAATGCCTTTCTAAGCAAACTGTTTCAGGTATAGTGTATTCACATTTTGTAAGTCTGATGTTTAGTTAAGAGAACCCCTGGCGGGCATTCCACTATGTAGTAGATGCTCAATAAATATTTATCGAACAAATGCATGAGGTTGGAAACACATGCCCACAATTATGTAATTACTGGATGGTATTAGCTAAATCATAACATGCATAGTTTGTGGAAATCAATAAATGTCTCCATTGGCTATTCTGTGTTATAGTTCATAATTGTACCTCCCCAATTTTGAAATAATTCCCTCGTCCTGAAGAAGCTCAGGTAGTCACAAAATATTGCACAGGTTTTAAATATCGTCTATATAGACATCTTGTATGGCATTCTTTGGATTGCCCAAGGCCACTGTTCTGTTTACCAATATACCATGATGGATTCAAGAAGGGGATATATGTGAAGCCATATATATCAGGGATAATCAGAACTAATACTTAAGGAGAGCTTGTGCTGTGACTGACTAAATTATAGACTTGACACATTAATAGAGGAATGTAATTTCTTTTGGCCTCTCTGAAAATAAATGATTTTTTTTCCTATTATTTTCTGGCTATCTGGGAATCTCAAGCCCTCAGAAGAAACACTATGCTTTATTTATCTCTTTTATCCTAGGTTCCATTATAGCATCTGGCAAAGAGGTACCCAATAAACATTTGTTTAAACTATATGGTCAGAGAGAGTCATAACAACAGCTAACTTTGGATAAGAGTAGGGGAGGAATGTCAAGCTTACATTGACTAAGAGATTAAAGAATTCAGAAGCATTATTCTCTTGGAAAACCATGGTAAGTATAGCAGACCAGAGAAAGTAGGGGAAGGGAGTCATATAGAATCTACCATAACCTCTCTAAGAATAATCAAGTGTACAGGGGCAGGGAAGTAGGACTACAAATTTTTCCTTAGATTCCATGATGTAAGTACCATTTCTGTTCTTATCCCATCACTTTTCCACCACCACTAGTAAGTAGTGTTAGTAAAGAGTGTAAAAGACAGCTTTAAAAAAAACACTACCAAGGTACTCTGGGGGATAACTGAGACTATTTGTCCAGTTCTACAAAAGCATTAGGAAGAATACAAGAAATATAGCTTAAACAATATTGCCTAATAACTAGTTATTTATGAATTTGCTCATTCTCTTTAGCTTTCCCAAACTTCACGAACTCTCATAGATGCACAAAGCATATAAATAAATCACAAGTAAGAGTAGCTCATGAAGTCAACCAGTTTAACAGAAATTTCTTTCTGATGCTAAACATATTGTCAGTTGGTCCTAGAGATATTAAAATCTTCACTATGTAGATCAATTGAAAAGAACGTTTGTTTTGAGTCAATCAGTAGTTTTAGGGAATGACTAGAGTGCCTACACAGGGAAGTAAGCAAATCTAGAATATTGATTTATCTATCCATTAGCAAAACAAAATATTCCATTCTTTTCTTTTGCCCTTTCTAAAAGAACTATAACGGTAATTAAGAGAGGCCCTTGAAAATGTTCATTTCCAAGACCTTAAGAAATTAAAAATAATGGTAACAAATGGCTTATTTTCAGGACAAAATTAAAGATTAAAAAAGAAAAAAACGAAATCCTGTTCATAATTTTTTAAATATTAAGGGTCTAAAAAAATTATTTAAAAAAATCTCAATAGTTTCTGATTCTGCTCTTAGGCTTTGAATTTCCAGCAGATTCACTTTTCAATATTCCCAGTTTGACTTTTGAGCCTCCAATTGAAGTTTTGTATAACCTAAGCAAAACGAGGAACTGGAGTTTTTCAAGAGTTCTCAGAAAAAGACGGACCAAATTTCCCTTCTTAAATCAAGGCTGAAATGATATTCTGACACATTCTGAATAGCATGCCACTTAGAGATGCTATCTTTAGAAAAACAAACAAACCAACCTGATTTTCAAATCCTTCCTTGTGATTAAAGATCACAAAGAACTTGTAGCAAGAAGAAGTTAGGATTAGCCATGGTGTCCTGATTCATTGAATTACCTCCCACACTTAGGTGGCCCATCATCTTAGCAGCAGAGTGGGTACAATTCATTGTCCTGATACACTAAGTACTGAGTTTGCACAGTTGAATACCTATAGCTAACAGTCAACGTTCTTTGTTTGTATGTACCAAGCGTGTGGAAGGGCCATTAGTTGTAATAGTTCCTTCTAATAAATGGAAGGGAATATTTCTTAATATATAATTTCTAGTTCTTCCTTCTTTTCATCTTCTGCACTTGGACTATGCTGAGGCCAATTTATTATTTCCCTGTTACAGGAATGTGGTAAGACATATAACCCACAATGTTCTGTTTACAACACAGAACAGATGTCAGATGTCAGAAATACTTTTATCTGAAACTCTTTCCTCACCCCCCTTTTTTTTTTACCTCATTCCCTGTTGACATGACTGCAACCACTGGGAACTTATTAACTTCAACCTCTGTGACACCTACAGTGGCCAGAAGACCAATCTCTGATGGGCCCATGTGGGTTCCTTTGGCCAAAACGCATTCTCCTCTTTTAATGTCATGGCCGATAGGTCTGAAAGTCAAAGCAGAACCATAAACAATAAGACTAAGAATAATATTTTCTCAACTCAGAGGGAAAATTTAGTGTCAGAGAAGGAGGACACTCAAGGGGGGAAAAAAGTGACAAGATGACGTAGAATCGAAATAAAATGAAGAGATTCTAAAAACTCCATGCTTTTTTAATTAAAAAGTTTAAATCACATAACAGAAGACAGAAATAAGATTTGTATGTATTACTGCTAAAAAGGAATATGTTACTTCATATTTGAAAATTATTTTACAAATTGCTTTGTACTACATTACAGTCAAAAACACCAGTTGCAAACTTTGTTTGATTTAAGGCAAGAATTTACATGAAAATATCTAGAGCATTAATGATAAGAGGTCCGTAGCTTGTTAGCTTTGTGGTGAAGAGAATAATGCTGCTGAGGTTCCAGCTGTGGACATAGTTTTCATCGGGACCTCTTAGCTGGTCCAGTTCTGTGGCTACACAGGTTCATTCACTCGGCCTGCTGTCACAGGGAGAGGAGAAGTGTAGCATTGTCACAAGGAAATGTTAACAAATTAGTATTAATGGAGTCAGAGCAAACATATTCCATTGTAAGAAAAATAATTTAAAGTACATGCATTACTTATGGTAGGACAGCAGTCTCATCTTGTATATAAAGAGGAGCAGATTATTCCATCATTATTGGTAGTCAGTAGAGGAGGGGCTGTCAGCTAATTGTGTAAATATCCAGTTTTGGAATTATCTGTGTTAATGCCAAATTCTGGATTATCTAGGAGTAGAATTAGCTATGGATTATGTAGGCTCATGACTTTACCTCCTTCTCATGTTGCTTTTGACTATCTACTTTGCCTTTACCATCTTCGCGAAAAAGTAATCAGGGCAGACATGGGATGTAGAATTCAGAAAAATTCATTTTGCTGCTTGTTAAAAGCCCTGAAAGCTAATGGCTAATTGACTAATGATTGAGCTGTGGATTTATAATAGCCATGCTTTCCTGAGTTTATGATCATGGAGAAGCAAAAGCTGGCTATACATTCTATATGTTATGAACTTACCTGATATCTTGGCCTGGCCGAGCTTGCACCAGAATTCGTACTTCAAGTTCCTCAGTGCCCTGTGATAAGAATAAGTCACGTAATTTCAAAAAGAACAATCTAACAGAATTTCTGATCAACAGAATTTAGCTACTCAAATGCTTTTACATTCAGAATATATACAAATGTAGAGAAAAATAAAACTATCTGCTAAACCCTTTGAACACAATGAATTTCCTGAAAAACTAGGTTAGATGCCAAGGAATAAATAAATAAATAAAACATTTGCAAGCATTTAAAAAATGTACCAATTCAAATATTGAATCCTACTTGGTAAGTAGTATTTTCAAGGAAAAACAAAATATATATACATATGTGGCTATCCTAATAGACACAGTGAATTTGCATGGAGATAACCCATCTCTTCTGTTCCCACGAATCATGGGTACAACACTACACTAAAGTTCCCAAATATCTGCAGAAATTTGAGGGAAGGACTTATAGTTTGCCTGGCAGTAGGTTTCTGTAAATTAATGGTGATCATCAATTTTACATTTATGGGCTGTGAATAATATTGTGACACTGGAACTATGTCTTGTCATCTGGCAGAGTCTGTGGATGCATGTGTTCTGGATTTCAATACTCTGCTGGCTTCTCTGATGCCAGTAAATCTGCTGGACAGTTTTAACAGCAGGCAATGTGATCTGTATGCCAAGAGTTCAATTTTCTAAGCCTAACATGTTGGGAAAGTGATTAAAAAGAAAATCCCCAGATCAAGAAAAGTGGCTGTCTCTCAGCATGGCTGAATTTTACTCTATACTGAGCCCAGGAGAATATATATTTATTTTTAACTCTAGTTTTTAAAATATAAGATGTCTTAAACTTCTTCACAAAATGAGTAAGGTAGCCAGTTGTTAAAACCTCGGTTGAAACTATTTTTTTATTAGTGGCTCAACCTCTGGTTTCAATACTCATCACTAGTTTCAATGAGATGAAGGCCTCCTTAGACCAAAAAAGATCCCAGGTTCTTTATTTAAGGCAATAGAGGGGGAACTGACATCAATTTAATATCTCCAGGCTGTCATTTGGTGGCACAGATATTCCTGAATTATAGAAAACCAGAACTGGTTTAGTTGCTTAGTGTAATACTCAAGAACTGGCCCAAATGTTCTATGCTAAATTCTTCTCTATTAAATTCTCCTTCATATTTTATCAGAAGCTTGTCCTGATGAGCAAATTTCTCAGCCAGAAGGTATGTCAATAGTTAATATCTCTGCTCTTCTATCTTGAGGTAATTTTTTTACTCGTTTGCATGTGAAATTTCTCGGATCAAATGTGGTTCAAATTCTGCTATAATCACAGCGATGATCATAAAAATTTTCTCCTGTAACAAAAGATTTTCAAGCCTAAGGCAAATCCTTCTTTACTGGAGACCCATATATGCAAGATCTTAACATAACCAAAAAAAACTGAGTTAATCTCATAAACATTGCAGAAAATGGGCATGACTTATAATATTGCCATAGAAATGGAGCAGTAAGACCTGGTAATGACGTACATCATCGGATTCCCTGATAAGTTCGGTATCTTCCACTTGTACTACTGCATCAGCACCGCAGGGGATGGGAGCACCTGTTGTAACTCGCATGACTTGTCCTGGCATTACTGTCTGAGTCGGCTGAAAATGCAAACATGTAAGAAAGAATTGATTTACTTTGCTGCTGCAAAGGAAAAGTCTGCAGGAGATGGAATATTTTTAGAAACAAACCATAAAAGGAAAGTCTTACAGTCTTACTAATTTTGGGCCAATGTGATAAAAGTCACAAACAGGTGCACTTATACCAAAGAAACTTTAACTTGATTTAAGATAATGACTATTAGATGTCTTTCTTGTTACCCTGTTTTCCTTTTGAAGAACTGCCACTTACATTTGCCACTATTGTCTCTCACTCAAATCACGTGAATTTTCTTAATATATGTAAAGTGATTCAAGAATCTTTAAGAAAGAAAATGCCATGCAATACGATTCTATGAATGACAACATTATATCCCAGATTTTCATCATCTGAGCTTTCATATGGATGGTATGGGAGACTGACTACAGGATATGCCCTGCAAACTCCCCCAGCATACGGAAAAGCAGATTTCTGAAAGATCCATCTCATAGGATTGGTCTGGCCTCAGAAGAGTCGGTTGTCATGGGTCATGATTTAGGTTGGAGTTGGGAAAATGAATGCTTCAGATTTCCCCTAAAAGAAAATTCTGAGATAATATTAATTCCCCAATAAAAAAGCTATCTTTCCAAAGACATCTGCTTCATAAGTATTTAAAATCTTGGGTCACAAGAACGTGAGCATACTTAAAACTACTGAACTGTACACTTAAAAATGGTTAAGATGCTACATTTTATGCTGTGTGTTTTTTTACCACGTTTAAAAAAAATTTTAGGGAACAGTTAAGGAAAAATATTCCTCCATTAGATGAACAAAGTAAAACTGGAAATTTATTTATTAGAAAAGGCTTAAAAAGCTTCTTTCCATAATATTATTGCTGCAAACAATACCACCAACAGCTACTATTTATTGAAGCCTCAATCTATGCTAGGTTCAGCGTTAAGTGCATTATTATATTCTAAAATATAAGCTCTACAAAGATAGGAATTTGTTTTGTTTTCTGTTGGCCTCTCCAGATCACATCCCCATTCTCTATCCTGTGTTGTAGCCCAGAAGGCTGACCTCTATGGACTGTCGCAACCAGGTTCCATCACTCTGGCTGCTAATTAGATTCAGTCAATGAGAAGGACTAACAAGAGATCAGAGGGTGAGAGAGTGAGAAAAGTAGGGTTTTATTCCTCTTCCTCTTTCCCAGCTAGGCTGCAGTTTGGTGATGGCTATGTCATCTCTACCACTGAGGACTACAGCTCCTGTTGGGTGGCCCTCTCCCATAGCTATGAATCTCCCCAGGTCCAGGTATGACTCTCTGCCTTTGTCCCTTCAGATCTAGAGGTGGTAATGGAATCTCAGTGTTACTAGCACCTAGGTGCTTCACATTTCTTTGTTAATTTCCTTTAACCCTTTCTATATCTTAGATGTAGTCCCTGCATTAACCTTCTTTAATCATCCCTTTTCCAGACATATTTATTGCTTTATCATCCTAACGCCTAGAAAGTATCTGGCACAACGTTGGCAGTCAATAAATATTCCAGAATGAATGAATGAACATGCATGATCTCATTATCACAACAACTACATCAAGTATGCAGTCCTTCTTGACTTACAACTCCAGTGTTCTCCCTGCTACTCTCCCACAGTCACTGGAGAAAGAGATTCTTGGGATCAGATCTGGCACTGAACTATGTACCTTATATCCCCTTATTCTGTTATTAGAATAAAAGACATTCCAGCCTTATTCAGAATTGTTACACTTTAATGTAATATTCTACCAAGATAATGCATAGGATTTAAAATGAACAATGTAGGGTTTAATACATTAAATTTTTAAAAAACCTTCAACCCCAGATATTACTACTTGTCTGAGACATCTCTTAATCCACTATATATGACCATTTTGCAGTGCAGTGATTTTTGATGAAAAAAATTAAAGTTTTGAGTTGATATGTGTTTTTTTTTTTTTGAGGAAGATTAGCCCTGAGCTGACATCTGCCACCAGTCCTCCTCTTTTTGCTGAAGAAGATTGGCCCTGAGATAACATCTGTGCCCATTTTTCTCTATTTTATATGTGGGACACCTGCCACAGTATGGCTTGATAAGCAGTGCCAGGTCCACGCCTGGGATCTGAACTGGAGAACCACAGGCCACTGAAGCAGAGTGTGTGAATTTAACTGCTACACTACCAGGGCTGGCCTCAATATATGTGTTTTTTTAGTAGAGGTGCTAATGCCAAAACTATCTTTGGAGCTTGTGGAACAAAGATATTTAATATAGGCCTAAAGAAGTATTTCTTTTGCTGAAAGTGCTTTTTTTTTTTTTTTTTGAGGAAGATTAACCCTGAGCTAACATCTGCTGCCAAGCCTCTTTTTTTTGCTGAGGAAGACTGGCCCTGAGCTAACATCGGTGCCCATCTTCCTCTACTTTATATGTGGGAGGTGTGCCCATCTTCCTCTACTTTATATGTGGGATGTCTGCCACAGCATGGATTGACAAGTGGTACATAGGTCTGTACCTAGGATCCGAACCGGGAAACCCAGGCCACTGAAGCAGAACGTGGGAACTTAACCGCTGCACTGCCAGGCTGGCCCCTGAAAGTGCCCTTTTGACCAAGGCAGAAAGTGAATCCTAAAGCGAGTTTCAGGGCAGTTGCCTCTTAAGCTGAAGTGTGTTAGCCTGGAGCCCTGCCTCAATTAGTTGGGTTCAATGTATCATATTCTGTAAACTTACTTTAAGTTTTACTGTAGTTTTACCAGTAATTTTCTCCACTCCTTGGCTTGAACCAACTAAGGAGGGTTTTTGTATGGTTATTAAATAAAAAATTTGGCTCCTTTCCAAGACCAGTAATTCTAAGTAGTAGGTGAAGGATTCCTACCAGCTCACTTATATTAAATCTAATGTAAAAGATATTATTGCATATATAAAGACATTTATATATCCGCTTAGAGGAGACATATAAACTGCAATTGAACTGAATCAACTGAAAAACTCTAACAATACATGAAGTACTTCTTTTAGATTGTTAAGACTAGTAACTAATTCTTTTTTATTTTTGTTGATATGCTTTACATATTTATATAAAGTAAAAACAGTTAAAATTTTGATTTTTCCTTAATGGAGGTATTGAGTTGGATGATTTGAGCTTTGTCCAATGATAGTACTTTATAATTACGTAGTACTTTCTTTCAAAGTGTTCAGGGCTAATCAATAGGACCAAACTATAAGTGATTTAAAGTCAAGTATTTTGGTACACCAAGAAACCAAAATCACTGTCTCAGTGTATGCAATGGCACCCTAATGCTGAAGGGTATTTACTTTCAATAAGTGAGCAGTTTGGCTCTTGTAAGATCTCTGAGATTACTATAAAGTCTGTATGATACATCAGTTATATGGTTATATAGATATTATATAGTATATCAATATATAGATATAGATACAGTTATATAGATGACAGACATCACGGATAATTGAAGAAAAATTCCATTTTCTTGTATACTTTCATTTTTTTCCCCATCAAACTTTTATAAGAACTTACAAGAAGTTGACAACTTTTAAGTTTTATAACTTTTCTTATGCTCCTAGTTCTCTAGTACAGTTGGAAGTCTTAACTAGTAAATAAAGTTTAAGAAGTCCACAAGGTCCTTAACAATCTGCTACCTATTCCTATGTATACTAGGCTGTGGCTACCATAAATTATTTGCAGTTCCCTAAGCATTCTATGCAATTTTTTATTTTAAAGATTGGCACCTGAGTTAACATCTGTTGCCAATCTTCTTCTTTTTTTTTCTTCTTCTCCCCAAAGCCCCCCAGAACACAGTTATATATTCTAGTTGAGAGTGGCTCTGGTTGTGCTATGTGGGACACTGCCTCAGCATGGCCGGACGAGTGGTGCCATGTCTGCGCCTGGGATCTGAACCAGCGAAACCCTGGACTGTGGCAACAGAGTGCGTGAACTTAACCACTCAGCCACGGGGCTGGCACCTCCATGCAATTTTTAAAACATCTTTGGGTCTTGACTTAAACTGTTCTCTCTGCCTGGAATGTCCCTTTCTCATTTCTGTCTTTGTAAAACTCTCTTAGCCCAGCTGCAGTGTCATCTCTCCAATCCTCCTAGGATGAAATGCTCAACCTCTCTATTATGCTCCACAGCACATGACTGAAGCACTAGTTCAAAATGTAACACATTGTATTATATCTAGTTGTTTATACTCTGTCTCCTCCACTAGATATAAACTCCTTAAGAGTTGTAGTCACATCTTAAGCTACTTCATATCCCTAAAACTTCCCATAGCGCCTGCTACACGTAGTAAGTATGTTTGATGAATGTTGGCCAGACTCGACTGAAGATCAAAGACATATTCCTTGAATAATTGATATTTTGTGGCTTTGTTATAAAAACAGATTCTTTAGATGTCCATTGTTGATGGAAATATGTACCAAGAAGTCAAATAAATTATGAGATCACAATGTAAGTCATTTATAAAAAAGGGTCCCAGGCCTAGCTGTTCTTTTTGTTAGGAAAGGAGTCATGGGGACTAAAACCAGCCTGTGTACAGTATGAACACGATCTAATCACTACAGTGCCAGGCTTAGCTTCAGAGATCTGTATACAGTATTCCTCATGGACGTAGAGATGGGGAGTGATTCGGGTCACTACCATTGGCACCATCCTTCTCTATATGCTTCCTCAACCCCTCTCTATTTTCAGGACATAAGGGAGTACCTGCTAAGCCAAGGAAGAAAATACGTGGGACACAGCTTTTGCCCAAACTGCCATATATATATTTTTTTCTTTATTTCCTCCTTTATTTTTATATAATGCGAGTACTTGACAGTAGAAAAGCGTCTTGGTCTTCCTCTAGTTCTATTTAATAAGATACGAGCTCTTTTACCCAACCTTCACAACTCATTGGATTAACGCATGTTCTCTATTTCCTCTTAAACATAATGATGCCCACAGCACAATTTAAGTTTGAAGGTGTTACACTCTTCTTTTGTACACCTGTAAACTACTGCTCTAAGATTCAGTTGAACTTGTCCCCAAACTTGTTTGTGCCAGTTTGTGGCAATAGTTGCTACTGAATTATGTAACTTAAAAAATATTACAAAACCCAATGATACATGAATGTGAAAAGAGTTATTTTTTCCTATAAAAATTAAGTTAAACCTTTGGAAAAACTTAATTAAAAATGCTGCTAAAAAACAATGTTGTCAAATTAGGTGTGGGTGAAGCAACTGTAAAAAATTATAAAAATATAATAAAAATTTAGAAGGATTCTATTCTTAGATACTTTGCAAATATCCTTTCTTTCAGATGTGATTTATGTAAGGAAGACTAGACATAAATTCAAATAGCAGGTACTTATTAAAAGAAAAGCCTTGGCTCTCCATCAAATTATTAACAAACAAACATTCATTTAAGTTAAATTTATCTTTATTTTAAAAAGATAAAATAACTTCCCACTTTAACTTATTTCCAATTAAACAGCCAATTACCGGGTATCAAAGGCATTAAATTAAGAGGACTTCTACTGTACCTCCATTATGGCCCATTAGTGCTTAATTTCTTAATAGAAATATATGTATACCTGTTCCCTGACTAGCTTCCTAATGAGAAAAATTAATCTAAATGATTAGCTAGAAAGGTTAAATAATCTGCTTTTTCTAAATTTCCATTTTCAACACAAGTTGGGAAAAAGTCTGAGAAGACCACTCAGAAATTGAAGTTATATTCAGAACATTAATGTTTACACAGGAAGAAAGAGTCATCCAATAACAGGGCTAGAAAATGCTTGTGGGGCATGTCTGTGAGACATACCAACAACACCATGCCATATATTAACAGATGCAGATTCTTTCAGTTAAGAAATAATTCTTTTGGTTCTTTCTCATGGGAACCAAATTTTAATGTCTTTGATAACCTAATCCTTCTTTAAGATTTCCATTAAAATGATGGTAGAAGTTTAGAATTAGATCCTGAAAGTCCATGAAACTGAAATCTTTATGGCCTTTCAGGCCTATAAAGCTCACCTGTTCACCAGCTTGGGACTCCCCAATGATGAAACGATCTCCTGGGCCATCAGCAGCTGTGGGATGAACAGAACCAAGAACAAACATCAGAATGAATCTATAGCAAGGACTAAGAAGCTAGAGCCAGAATTCTCAAAACTGACTCAAATGATCAGATAAGGCTTCAGGAAAGTGGAATACTTTTCTCATCTCCTAGACTAGACAGTGGCTTTGTTACTAATGGTTTGATCTTTGGTATCCACAACTCACAAAAAACAACAGAAGTGGCCCTAAGCGTGCTCCTTCTTGGTGTCACTGGAGATAGTCTTTCTGTTGCTCCTTAATTTCCACACTTGTACGTTTTAAATAGGAAGTTCTTTTAGCCTATCCTACTAAATAAACACCACCTTATCCTTGGGTATGTGTGTGTGATGTGTGTGTGCACACTTATGGAGATGTATATGTACATATATATATATTTCCATATTTCTCTATTTTTCTATAAATTTTAACTATTTCACACTGTTTTCTTATTTATAATCCAGTATGATCTTCATAATTAACATAATGAAGTAGGAAGAACATATATTCTTTTCTTCATTTGACATTTGAAGGAAATGAGTTATATACAGGTAGAAAAGCTTAAGTACTTTGAACAAGTTCTGGTTAGTATAGAGCAAGGACTAAAATACAGTTTCTTAATTCCCAGTATAGTATTTTTTCTTTTTTAATAATCTGTCAAAATGCTATTTCTGAATTAGAATACACAGGCAGTGCTGCATCACATTTTCCATTGATTATTTCTTTTTAAATTGGAAGAAACACTTTCAGAATTGAGATGGAAAAAACTTCTTATCCAATTTTTTTCCCCTACATACAGAAGAGTAACGGCTGGGTGTAAAAATACTCCTGGAGATAAATGTATTCAAAAGGGTTTTCTTCACATATGATGTGGATTTCAGACCAATACTTCTGGACAGGCAATGCCTATCTAATGAGTTTAATGATCACAACCATTACTTCCATGTCATCTGCATACAGTAAGGGTTTGGGGCACATACACGGAAAAGATAACACTTTATTTCTTTTTTTTTTTAAAGATTTTATTTTTCCTTTTTCTGCCAAAGCCCCCTGGTACATAGTTGTGTATTTTTAATTGTGAGTCCTTCTAGTTGTGGCTTGTGGGAGGCCACCTCAGCATCGCTTGATGAGCTGTGCCATGTCCGTGCCCAGGATCTGAACCAGCGAAACCTTGGGCTGCTGAAGCGGAGCACGCGAACTTAACCACTCGGCCACGAGCCGGCCCCAGATAACACTTTCTATATGAATATTTTAACTATATTTGCAATCATAGTGAAAAATAATAAATGATATTTTCCTTCTTTTAAAAAGGACCTACAAAATTCATTGTCTCTTTATGTGATTACAAAGTGGCATTTTTTCTAAAGGCCTATATACAATACTGTTTCTAATAAGTCACTTTATTTTTTTGCATAGATGGCTTTGGTTAACCTGATGTGGAGAGGGACAAAAAATAAACATTGGGTCTCTTCTATGTACTAGATGTTGTATCTTGTGCTTTACAGACATTATCTCAGGCAATAAACTCTTGGCTTTCTTGTGTTTTTGGAATCCTATCGTATTTTCAGTGTTCACTTGTAAAAACAAGAATAGTTTTCCTGCCATGCTATTCTTATTATGCTGCTTTCACGGGTTCTTTTTTATTTAATTTTTAAAAAATGAACAACTTAAAATAGACATATAAATCACTGCTTTGACAATTACCAACATTTCACCAATCTTGTTTCATCTATCCCACCACTTTATTTTTGCAGTATCTTAAAGCAAATCACGATTTTCTTACTGTAGAAAATTAAAAGTCAATCATCTGTCAGAGTTCTGCACTAACTGCACCGCAGATGTGAATAAACTTATTTTTAGTCATTTTTCTACTGGAAATATTACCAACTTGCCATCTCCTATAAGCAATCTAGACATTTTCTCTTTTTACTTCTTGCACAAAGGGAAATTAACATGGTTTTAGAGTAAAACAAAGCTGAATCTGAATCCTGGTTCTGCCTATTATTAGCCTCAGGACTTTCTGCAAATTACTAAAACTTTCTCTAACCTTCAGTCTTGCTGTTGATAAAAATGGGGATAATAATACTTTAAAAATAATACACTTTAAAACTTTTTATTTCTTTCATTCATTTACTAAATGTCTACTGAGTGTCTTCTATGACCCAAGTGTCATAATAGGTGCTGGGACAGAGTAAAGAGTAAAACCAGACATTGTTTCTATTCTAATGCAGTGCCAGTCTGTTGCAATGTTTTTCACTCTGGATCATAAATGGAGATGGGCAGTAAAATCATCCTGTAAATAATTTTTTAAATGAAAAAGAATAGAAGGTATATTTCATCATCCATGGTAAGGATGAATATTGTCTCATGAAACTTACTTTTGCTTATATATATGTGAGCATATGTATATTTATATGTATTGTATATGTTGTATATGTTTGTATATATTATTGGCTTGTGATGTATGATGTATTTAACGTGTGTCTTCCTATGGGTGTGGCTAAAACAAAACTCTTAAAGCCAGTGACGTAGTGGAGGAGAAAGATATTAATCAAATAATCACAATAATGAATAATAAATACAAATTAAGAAAATCACTTTTTTTCTTAAAGATTGGCACCTGAGCTAATATCTGTTGCCAATCTTCATTTTTTTTTTTTTGTCTTCTTCTCCTCAAAGGCCCCCCATACATAGTTGTATATTCTAGTTGTAGGTCCTTCTGGTTCTGCTATGTGGGACGCTGCCTCAGCATGGCCTGACAAGTGGTGCCATGGCCGCGCCCAGGATCTGAACCAGCGAAACCCTGGGCCGCTGAAGCAGAGCGCACAAACTTAACTACTTGGTCACGGGGCTGGCCCCAACAAAACGATTCTTAAAGGAAAGGTAGGGGGCTGGCCCTGTGGCCGAGTGGTTAAGTTTGTGCGCTCTGCTTCAGTGGCCCAGGGTTTCGCCAGTTTGAATCCTGGGCGTGGACATGGCACCACTCATCAGGCCATGCTGAGGTGGCATCCCACATGCCACAACTAGAAGGACCCACAACTAAAAATACACAACTATGTACTGGGGGAGGGGGGACTTTGGGGAGAAAAAGGAAAAAAAAATCTTAAAAAAAAAAAAGGAAAGGTACATGGTTTTGTAAAGAGAGAGGTAAAAGAAAAGCTGCCATTTTCAATATGAATTCTACAAGCTTAGGTGGGAGCAGGTGGAAGTGGAGGTATGGTGGCATACAAACCTAAAGCTTGGAAAGAAATAAACTAAGCCACAGTATACTGTTAGAAAAGATGGATTGATTCCAAAGATGTCTGTAAAGGCTTAGAATCTTTTCCCCCTCCTAATTCAGATGTTTCTGTTAATAAGTTGTCTGTTTTCTAATTGTAGAATTTAATTTGAAGGAAGTGATAAAAGCAATATAAACCAAATCCTAACAGCAAATGCATTATAGAAGTAATTCATCATGCTTAATGCTAGACCCTAAAGCTGCTCCCACTTCCACCCTCTTTTTTTAATGTCCAGAAAACACTTCTGGTCTTGTTCACCTGTTTATTTGAAGACTTCTGATTACATCATTTTATATAAAATTGATACTATTAGATAACTATTCACTGGGGCAACGTATAGAAAATGATCTTCCCCAAGCCATTTGCCATAAAATTATCTCTCATTTTCATTTTCCAGCTATATGTGAACATTCTTTAAGCCTCCTGAAACACTTTACAGCTATTCATTTATTTTTAATAATAAAGAGTCTCATCATTTCCATGTTAGGGCTGAATAAACTGAGGCTATAGAGATGGCATAACTTTTAGAGGAAATATCTTTGACAGAGAAATAAGGCAGAGGGATTAAGAATTTATTTACTCTGACCACTCAACAACAAAAAAACCAAACAATCTAATTAAAAAAGGGGCAAAGGATCTGAACAGACATTCTTCCAAAGAAGATCTATAGATAGCTAATAAGCACATGAAAAGATGTTCAACATCACTAATTATTAGGGAAATGCAAATCAAAACTATAATCAGATATCACCTCCCACCCCTCAGAATGGCTATTATTAAAAAGTCAAGAAATAGTAAGTGTTGGAAAGGATGTGGAGAAAAGGGAACTCTCATACACTCATGGTGGGAATGCAAACTGGTGCAGCCCCTAAGGAAAACAGTATGGAGATTCCTCAAAAAATTAAGAATAGAACTACCATATGATCCAGCCATTCCACTTCTGGGTATTTATGCAAAGAACATCAAAGCATGAATGTGAAAAGATATTTGCACCCTTATGTTCACTGCAGCATTATTCATAATAGCCAAGACTTGGAAACAACCTAAATGCCCATCAATGGATGAATGGATAAAGAAGATGCGGTATACATACACAGTGGAATACTACTCAGCCATAAAAAAGATGAAATCTTGCCATTTGTGACAACATGGATGGACCTTGAGGGTATTATGCTAAGTGAAATAAGTTAGACAAATGCCATATGATTTCACTCATAAGTGGAAGATAAAAACAACAACCACCACCACCAAACATATAGATATATAGATTACATTGGTGGGTACCAGAGGGGAAGGGGGAAAGAAGAGGACAAAAGAGGTAAAAGGGAATATGTGTATGGTAATGGACGGTAATTAGTCTTTGAGCGGTGAACATGATGTAGTCTACACAGAAATTGAAATACAATGATGTACACCTGAAATTTATATAATATTATAAACCAATATTACCTCAATAAAAAAAAAAGAAAAAAAAGAAAAAAAAAAGAATTTGTTTACTCTGATTATGGAACCAAACTAAGATGGAACGATAGGCAACAAAGTAATAACATTTATGTGTATACTAAAACTAAGATTATAGGAAGAGATGGCGTGGGGGTAAGCAAAGGTGACAAGACTAACACAACAGGACTAATACTTGCTGCTATTATACTGAGGGATTAAATCAGGTGAGTTGTTTGGAAATTTAAATCTGCTGCCTTTTCTTATGGAAAGCAGGGAGGTAACACTAGGACAGATGAATGAAAGACATTTTATATTCTTTACTATCATCTTCCATGAGAAAAACACCCATTTATTGTTAGTACTGGTAAAAGAAATGTTCTTTCCTTAAATACAGTACTTTAAGCTTTTGAGAATTAACTAAAATTAATTATTCCAAACTATCTCCCTGCTCACATGAGTAATACTCCCAAGTCATAATACCATCTTCTTCATCCAAAGTGTCCTCTACAACATGGATGGACCTTGAGGGTATTATGCGAAGTGAAATAAGTCAGAGGGAGAAAGTCAAATACAGTATGATCTCACTCATAAGTGGAAGATAAAAACAATGACAAACAAACACATAGCAACGGAGATTGGATTGGTGGTTATCACAGGGGAAGGGGGAAGGCGGGAGGGCAAAAGGGGTAAACAGGCTCACATGTGAGGTGATGAGCTGTAATTAGTTTTTGGGTGGTGAACATGATGTAATCTATACAGAATCTGCAATATATTACGATGTACATCTGAAAGCTATATAATGTTATAATCCAATGTTACTGCAATAAAATAAAAAGAAAGATAAATAGAACTGATAAAGAGAGCAGCAGATGCCTTATTGTTTATCCGGATTGTTTTACTAAAGAGTATAGTTGCAAACACTCTTTGACAGTGCATTTGCAATGATGTGGATGGGCATCTATTTACGAATTCAACTGCTGATCTTCATTAACCTGAGAAGAAGATACTAAAGCCAATGCTATGACAAAAACAAACAAACAAAGTGTCCTCTAGTGGAAGGCAATAGCCTGTCAAATGAGTTGGAGAACCAGCAGTGGCCAAAAAGTATTTAAACGGACAAAATAGAAACCCTAGAACTTGACTTTCATGAAAGAAGAACTAGCTCTAAATCAAAAAGGTTATACTGAATTTTAGTATTCTGAATTTTAGTATGCACTTTAACCAACTAGAAGGAAGTATAACAAAAAGTTAATAGTGGCTAGGCAGTGAGATAATGGGCAATTTTACAACGCTCTTTTTGATAGTCTGTATTTCCTGTAACCATATATTTCAATCAGAATGTAAAAAACTAAAAAGCTTTAAAATTTACTTTATCCAAATGGCACGGATTTCTCTTAGTATATCCTTGCAAAATTGTTTGTTACACATGGTTCTCAAAATAATTACTGTCTTGTTTATAATTTTCCCTTTTCTAAATGATCCAAAAACAGGTTCTGAAGGGATAAGCCTTTCAAACTGAACATTTTTAAGAAAGCCGAACTTGAAATTCTGAGGTATTTTTGCCTTTATTAACATCTAAGAAGAAACTGTGAGACAATAAGCACCCACATCTCTATAGGAGGGTGTGAATGCATCAAGATGATGATTAGCTTAATCAGTGTGAAGGGAAAAACAACTCTTCAAAAATATAAAGAATAAAAACATTGTATTGATTCTAATCGGTAATAATGCTACTTTCATTTTCTTTTCCATGTTTTTATCTTTCGAATACACTCCCTCCTGAATGCAGTTTTAGTTTATTAGATTATAGGTCTTCCTATTACTTACATCATCATCACTTGATTCTTGCCTTCTTTACACTCTATTGTTTCTTTTATTTTTTTAAGCTGCTCCTATTTTTTATTTCCTTAGTCATGTTTTTTGATCATGTCTTGATTTTTCAACCCACATACCTTAAAGCCAAGTGATCTTTCAACTGGTTTGGGGTTTTAGCCCACATGTTTCTGAAGGATACTGGTTAACGCTTAGTGATCCAGAGCAAGTTAGCAACCTAGAGGGTTAGCAATCCTCACAGGTACCAATGGTTATTACTGGAAGGCCTAAGGCAGAGGCAGAGGAGAAGAAAAAAAAGGGAGCAGGGAGAAAGGAATGGGAGTAAAGGAAGATGGGGGTGGAGAGAAGAAGGTACACGAAGCACAGTGGTAGAGAGCCACAATAATAGCCTCAAGGACACTCTTTACCAAAACACTGCCTGGGGGGGATATTATAGCATAGAAAAGACTAAGACCAATGCCTCTTTGATCACTGATGACTTTTGCTGCCTTAATTATGACATCAATATATATATATACACATACAAAGACACACCCACTATTCCCACTTTGAGTTTTAACCATATCTGCATTGGTTATCTGTTATATGTTATGTATCTGTTAAATGTTCCTTATCTTAGAGAACTAGCAACACTTCACAGGAAAGAATGAATCAGCTGCATGGTAGATTATTTGTTGAACCTTTATACTGTGAGATGTCATTTTAGATTTTTCTGTGTGTGTGTGTGTGTGAAATCACCACCACTCCAAAACAAAAGAATAAATAAGATATTGAATAATAATTTTACATAAAAATTTCTTTGATAGAGTCTACAGTAGCAGAATGGCTCTTTTATGGCTCATGTAGGCTAATTGCTCTTTTTGGCAAATAGAAAAGCTAAGCGCAATAGTTTCTTTTTATTGAACTGCTGCTACCTCATGCAAAAATCACAGAACAACATTCTGTTTGAGAATAATTCTGCCTCAAATAATGTATTTTCTCACTTTCTTCTACTTCATATCACCAAGGATGTAAAAAATACTTTCTCGTCCCTTTGGTATTTCATCTGCTGTAGTTGTTTGTTTGACTCTAGAGGTAAGAATTTTTTTGTCATTTTATAGTAATCTTATATGGCTATTAATTATAAGTTCAAAACAGAATTTACATTTTAGAGGGGGAATAAGAAATAAGGAGAGCCAATGAGGCTATCAGAAGACTAAAGTAATTTTCTTTCTGGACAATATTCATTATAATAAGTACTATAGAAGGAATAAATTTGGTAGGAAAAAACCATAAGAGCCATCGGGCACTTGTTATTTATTTTTTCAGAAACACTCTAATTTAGTGAGATCGAGCTGAATGAGGTGCATCTAAGATAGTGTTCTTGAGAAAGAATACACTGGTAAGAATTAATCTCCCCACCATTTTGTTAACATAGAATAGGAGAATAACAATTTAGATGAATGTTATCCTTTTTTCAGAGATAGTCTAGGTAAAAGTATTTGTAACAATAATAGTGATAATGATTTGCTCAAAGTTACATAGATAGAACTGGTACTAGAATCCAGATCACTCTTACTATGCTCAAAGCCAATAACCTTAACCATTTGCTATACTGCCTCCAACATAAAGAAATACTGCTAAGAGATGGTGCTGGAACATGGGGAGATTAATGAATGTACTTAATTACAAAAAAGAGGAAATTGTTTTATTTTATTTGTTTTTTTAGGAAGATTAGCCCTGAGCTAACATGTGCTGCCAATGCTCCTCTTTTTGCTGAAGAAGACTGGCCCTGAGGTAACATCCGTGCCCATCTTTCTCTGCTTTATACATGGAATGCCTATCACAGAATGGCTTGCCAAGTGGTGCCATGTCCGCACCCGGGACCCAAACTGGCGAACCCTGGGCCGCCGAAGTGGAACGTGCCCACTTAACTGCTGTGCCACCAGGCCGGCCCCAAGAAATTGTTTTAATTGGCTAGATATAGTAAAAAAAAAAAAAAAAAAAAAAAAAAAAATCCAACAAAAAGCCAAGTAAGAGACTCCACAAATGTCCATTAAAAAGGAACTGGCCTTCTTACGAGCTCTGATAAACTGGGAGATGTTTTTAGACATTTCTTCAATGATATTAGCCTTGACTTAATAATCAATAATAGTTCCTACACAATTCAGTTGTATTTTCATTTTGGGTTCTTAGATTGGACTTTAGGCAGGTAAATGCTATTTAGTATTTGCTTTTAAGCTTTATGCAATCTCAGGCAACTCTGAAGGCGTGAGCTGCTAGTACCATCTGGTGATTCAGAGCTTTGAAATACGGCACCTTTCAGGGAATCAGAGGTTGCCCTCACGCTTGATTTTTATGAAGCCCTTATTGATGCTTGAATTTAAAGCAGCAGAAAAAACTGTCCCATTTTATCCTTGTATTGGGAATCTACTCTTATTTCTTGGAACATATAGATGTTTTCAACTAGAAAACATATGAAAAACTTTAAACCAAGATTGTCTGCTATCTGGCATGTGTACAGGCCAAAAGAATAAATTAAGGTACAGTGTTTTTATCAATCTCTACATATTTGTTGTAAGCAAGAATTTTCAAGTAACTACAGTACTCTCACTGAAAAGTTTTAATAAAGATTATGCCAGAAAACATATAGGTGTAGATTAACACTATTATCCATAAGTGAAATTATTTTGACAAACAAGGGGGAAACAGATGTAACAGGTGTTGGGTGCCTAGGCTGAGCCAAAAATCTGAGGAAAAAAACCAAAACAAAACACTGTATGATGATACTCAAGAAAACCAAAATATTTACCTCGGACAGCATAGCCATCTTTTACTGATGCTGGGAACGGGGGTAGGTTGTCTTTTGCATATACATCTTGAGCAAGGACTCGCCCCATTCCATCTGCAAGCAGAGAAAAGAAGGAAAATATGAATGTCAAGAGCAATAGGTTAAACAGGCAGTATAAACAAGATGGGCATGTGTGCTTGTCTGACAAGGCTTGTATATGGGCTCAGACTTCCTGATTTCTATCCCGAGGAATAGGAGACAGAGGAAGAGATGCATCCTACTGTCTGAAATGAAAGATTAGATTCAATCAATTAATAGTAATACTTGCAGAGATTATTTGAATATGAGTAACTACACAATCATCAAAGATGTGTTAAAATTGATGTGTCATTAATCCTTTAACAACTCAAAGGTGATTTTCTTTTCTTTTTTTTTTTTTGAGGAAGATTAGCCCTGAGCTTACATCTGCTGCTAATCCTCCTCTTTTTGCTGAGGAAGACTGGCCCTGAGCTAACATCTGTGCCCATCTTCCTCTACTTTATATGTGGGACGCCTACCACAGCATGGCTTGCCAAATGGTGCCATGTCCCTATCCGGGATCCAAACTGGCGAACCCTGGGCCGCCAAAGCGGAACGTGGGAACTTAACTGCTGCGCCACCGGGCCGGCCCCAAAGATGATTTTCTTTAAAAAGATAATTCTGGGGGCCGGCCCCGTGGCTGAGTGGTTGGGTTCGCACGCTCTGCTTTGGTGGCCTGGGGTTTTGCCAGTTTGATTCCTGGCCGTGGACATGGCACAGCTCATCGGGCCACGCTGGGGCGGCGTCTCGCATGCCACAGCTGGAAGGACACACAACTAAAAGTACACAACTGTGTACTGGGGAGCTTTTGGAGAAAAAGTAAAAATAAAATCTTTAAATAAAAAGATAATTCTTCAACATTTTTATATTCATTGATCCAGTAATTTCATTTCTAGAAATCTATCCTAAGAAAATGGATAAATCTTTATGTACATGTTTATTTCAGAGTTGCTTACATTAGTGAGAAATGGAAAGAAATCAAAAGATCAATAATACAGAAATTTAAAGACAATGATCTATCCTTATGATAAAATATTATGTAGGCTAAAGTAATATTTATGAAGCATATTCATTGACAGAAAAATTATTACGATATATATTTAAAAAACATGCAGAACTGCACATGTAGTGTATAATCTTAACTATGTTAAGATATATTTGTTCTCAAAAAGGTGGGAAGGGCATACATGAAAATATAAAGCATTTGTTATTTCATTACTTTGGAAGTATGTATGACTTTTATCCCCTTTGCTATACTTTTATGAAAATTTCCAAGTTTTCTACAATGATCATCACATCATTTTTATAGGAAAGTTTTTTTTCTTAAGAAGAGAAAAGTAAAAGGGAAAGAGCTTCCTTATCATTCTATTTGAATTTTAGCCTTTGATTTTGGCTTTATTAACCTAAAAAAATTAGTGACTATAAGAAGAGGGCCACTAAGTTAACACGTAAAGTGACTATTCAGACCACTCTGGATGACAATCAGTTTTGGCTGGAGCTCAGGAATTTGAACTAGTGCCAACAAGAATAAAAGTTTCAAAAGTCATGACTAATTCCTAAATCCTCTAGTCAGAATCTGTCTTTATTATTATTATTATTATTATTATTATTTTTTTTTTTTGAGGAAGATCAGCCCTGAGCTAACTGCTGCCAATCCTCCTCTTTTTGCTGAGGAAGACTGGCCCTGAGCTAACATCCATGCCCATCTTCCTCTACTTTATACGTGGGACGCCTACCACAGCATGGCTTTTGCCAAGAGGTGCCATGTCCACACCCGGGATCCGAACTGGTGAACCCTGGGCTGCCGAGAGGTGGAACGTGTGAACTTAACCACTGCGCCACTGGGCCAGCCCCTGACTACTATTCTTGTATATGTTTTGTCAACCATATATTCAATTTGTAATATATTAGCAACTATTTTCAAAACTGATGTGTAAGAGTTTTCAAGTTGGTGTGTGTGAGAAAGTATGTGTTAGGTTTCTTAAGCTTTTGAAGAAAGAGAACTCTATTTGTATTTCCTTCAGGTCTAATCAAAGTAACAAATATAGGTTATACTCTATATGCCTTTTAGTAGCCTGGACTTCCAGAGGAATCCTTACTATTATTTAAATTCAGTTCTTTTTTTTTAAAAGATTGGCACCTGAGCTAATACCTATTGCCAATCTTGTTTTTTTTCCCTTCTTCTCCCCAAAGTCCCCCAGCACATAGTTGCATATTCTAGTTGCAGGTCCTTCCAGTTGTGCTATGTGGGATGCTGCCTCACATGGCCTGATGAGTGGTGCCATGTTCGTACCCAGGATGTGAATTGCTGAAACTCTGGGCCACTGAAGTGGAGCGCACGAACTTAACCACTCAGTCATGGGGCCAGCCCCTAAACTCAGTTCTTCTTAAAAGGAAGGACAAATCCCAGAGAAATGAAAACATATGTCCACATAAAAACTTGTAAACAAATATTAATTGCAGCACAATAATCAAAAGATGAAAACAATCCAAACCATCATCAACTGATGAATGTATAAACAAAATGTGGTACACAGATACAATGAAATACTGCTTGGCCATAAAAAGGAATGAGGGACTAATGAAAGCTACAAAACATTGCTGAATGAAATTAAAGAGGACACAAATAAATGGGAGACATTCTGTGCTCATGAATTGGAAGACAAATATTCTTAGTGTCTATCCCACCCAAAGCCATCTACAGATTCAATGGCATCTCAATCAAAATGAAATGGAAATTTTTGCAGAAATAGAAAAGTTCATCTAAAATTCATATGGAATCTCAAGAGACCCTGAATAGCCAAAACAATTTTAACAAAGAGAAAAGCTGAAGACTCATACCTCCTGATTTCATAACATATTACAAAGCTACAGTAATCAAAACAGTGTGGTACTGGCATAAAGACAACAAACAAACCAATGGTGTGATGGTTAATTTTGTGTCAGCTGGCCTGGACATGGGGTGCCCAGATTAAACATTATTTCTGGGTGTGTCTGTGAGATTTTTTCCAGATGAGATTAGTATCTGAATAGGCGGACTCAATAAAATAGATAGCCCTCCCCATTGTGGGTGGGATCATCCAATCTGTTGAGGGCCTGAATAGAACAAAAGCTGGACGAAGGAATTTGCCCCTTTTGCTTCCAGCCTGCCTGTTTGAGCTGAGACACTGGTCTTCTCCTGCCCTTGGATGGGATTTATACCATTAGCTCCCTTGGTTCGCAGGCCTTCAGACTTGGACTGGGATCATAACACAAGCTTTCCTGGGGCTCTGGCTTGCAGATGGCAAATCATGGGACTTCTTAGCCTCCATAATCAGGTGAGCCAATTCCTTACAAAAATTTCTTCCTATCTCTCCTATTGGTTCTGTTTTTCTGGATCACTGTGACTAATACAAATGGAATAGAATAGAGAGCTCAGAAATAAACACTTGTGTATATAGCCAATGATCTTTGATAAAGGTGCCAAGACCACTCAATGGGGAAAGGATAGTCTTTTCAACAATTAGTGCTGGGAAAACTGGATGTCCATATGTAAATACTGAAGTTGGCCCCTATGTTCCACCATATACAAAAATTAACTCAAAATGGATTAAAGACTAAATGTAAAACCTAAAACTATAAAACTCTTAGAAGAAAACAGAGAGGAAAGGCTTCATGACACTGGACTTGACATCAAAAGCACAGGTAACTAAAGCAAAAATAGATGAATGGGACTATATAAAACTTAAAAAACTTTCGTGCATCAAAGGACACAATCAACAGAGTGAAAAGGAAACCTATGGGGCTGGCCTGGTGGCGCAGCAGTTAAATGCGCACATTCTGCTTCAGTGGCCCAGGATTTGCTGGTTTGGATCCTGGATGTGGACGTGGTGCTGCTTGGCAAGCCATGCAGTAGCAGGTGTCCCACATATAAAATAGAGGAAGATGGACACGGATGTTAGCTCAGGGCCAGTCTTCCTCAGCAAAAAGAGGAGGATTGGCAGCAGATGTTAGCTCAGGGCTAATCTTGCTCAAAAAAAAAAAAAAAAGAAAAAAATAGGAAACCTATGGAATGGGAGAAAACATTTGCAAATCATATATCTGATAAAGGGTTAATGTCCTGAATATATAAAGAATTCCTACAACTCAACAATATAAAAAAATCAAATAACCCAATTAAAAATGGGCAAAGGACTTGAATAGACATTTCTCCAAAGATGGTATATAAATAGCCAACAAGCATATGAAAACATGCTCAACATCACTAGTCGTCAGAGAAATGCAAATCAAAACCAAGGAGACATCACATCACACTCATTAGGATGGCTGCTATCAAAAACAGCAGAAGATAAGTTTTGATGAGGATATGGACAAACTGGAACCCTTAGGCACTGTTGGTGGGATTACAAAATAGTGCAGCCACTATGGAAAACAGTAAGGAGGTTCCTTAAAAATTAAAAATAGAACTACCAGGGGCTGGCCCCGTGGCCGAGTGGTTAAGTTCGCGCGCTCCGCTGCAGGCGGCCCAGTGTTTCGTTGGTTCGAATCCTGGGCGCGGACATGGCACTGCTCATCAGACCACGCTGAGGCAGCGTCCCACATGCCACAACTAGAAGAACCCACAACGAAGAATACACAACTATGTACCGGGGGGGCTTTGGGGAGAAAAAGGAAAAAATAAAATCTTAAAAAAAAAAAAAATAGAACTACCATTTGATCATCAATCCCACTTCTGGGTATATATCCAAAAGAATTGAAAGCAGGGTCTTGAAGAGATTTTTTCTTTTAAAGATTTTATTTTTCCTTTTTCTCCCCGAAGCCCCCTGGTACACAGTGGTATATTTTGAGTTGTGGGTCCTTCTAGTTGTGGCATGTGGGACGCTGCCTCAGCATGGCCTGATGAACAGTGCCCTGTCCATGCCCAGGATCCGAACTGGTGAAACCCTGGGCCGCTGAAGCGGAGTGCGCGAACTTAACCACTCGGCCACGGGGCTGGCCCCCTTGAAGAGATATTTTCACACTCACGTTCATAGTAGCACTATTCATAACAGTCAAGA